CACTTTTATTTTTAAATTCAAGTTGTATTATATGGTTCGTTATTAGTCATATAGAACATAAAGCATTGGTCAGTAAAGGAAAATTTTGCAAACTTTGATGAACACATTAGATAAAATAAAATATCCCTAACCTATCAAATATTATATATTTACCATGATTTTGCATTTATATCAAATCTACCAAAAATCATGAATCATTCTGACAAACTGTAATAATTCGGTGAATGCAATATCATTAAGGGATCTGAAATTTGGTTACGTATTCTCGCATTTCTTATACCGTTTATAGCAACCGCTCAAACAAATAGAAGAAAGGCATTTTATTTTTGACTCTAAAAAGACCATGTATTACAAAATGACAGCGCTACTACTAAATTTGCAAAATCTTCTATAAAAAAACATGCTACACAAAACATTCTGTCATCATACGTTTAGCCGATATAGTAACATCTTCGGTACACATACAATCTACCATTGTATACAATGTAAAAATAGTAGCATCGGTAAACTGAAAATAAAAACAAATTAATATTATGTTATCATTTTTATTTAAAGGGAGACTATGTTTCATGAGTTATAACTAAATCATTTCTCCCATTGCTCAACTATTTGTGGGTTTTATGTCAATTATGTTAATACAGTGAGTCCAATGAGCTTCATTTCCTGCTGCATGATACGACTATGATATAAATAGAATTGATATTATGTTATCATTTTTTATTTAAAGGGAGAGTACGTTTCATGAGTTATAACTAAATCATTTATCCCATTGCTCAACTATTTGTGGGTTTAATATTGATATAATTCCCATTTAATGCTATATAAAGTATTTTCGTAAACAGACATGTACAGCAGAACATGGTGAATCCCTATCCCTAATTGATATGATTATATGATTGTTTTTTTCTAAATGAAAAATGCTTACGTCCTCTCTTTTCAATATCATGGCTTTCGGTGTCTTTCGTATCTGAAGTACCATCGTATGGTTTAGAAGCATACATCCAGTGAGCCGTGGCGTTGGTATGAGCACAATGAAGTGCCACCTCTTCCCCAGCGAACCTCTTCAGGACCTTTGGTTCGATTGGGTCTTTGGAGTAATCAAAAGTCATCTTCTGCTGATTCGAATCACTTCCCTACAGAATACAATGTAAAGATTGGTCAAAGAAATGTTATAGCTTTACATTGATTTTGATCTCGCATTGGGGATGCATCTAACATTAATTCAATAAAATATATTCCCTTTTCACTTACGACTCAACCTTCAATTTTCACAGTAATGCATGACTATAGATATTTTTATTTCATCAAGGTGATCGGATGATCTCATTTCTAACTTAAAGGGCTCGGTGATAGAAAAGTCTATTCCTGTCGGTGACTTTAAAGTGAGGTAGTTGTCCACCGATACTGAAGTGAATAGATTCTGAGTGCCAAAACGAGTTATGTCCCTTTAACCATAATAATTCTCTTAGAAACATACTTACGCCATATTTAGACCAATATTTCAGTCCGCCGTCGAAATCTTCATCCAAACGGTCTATCAAACAAATGTTCTGAGTTTCATCATAGAGGGCCACCAATTTCTACCAGAAATAAAAAAAAGATAATCATTAATCAAATAGAAATAAATGAACCATTGAAGACTTGTAACATCACGCAGTGTGCAATTGGTGACATTAGGTCAGTACAGCAGCATCTGCCTACCCTGTTAAAGCTATGCAATTCTCTTGTTACATACACCTCACAAGTACGGAATGTTGTTATCACATACCCTGTTGTAATTATGTAATGCTCTCATGCCATCGACTCGTCCCGCTTTCTTGTTGTTAACGTAGATCAGTTCTTTCTTATAATCAACATAGATATGTTCTGGTATCTTCTCTCCGTCAATTCTAGATTCAGCTTTATATTCCTGTCAATACAATAGAAAACACGATTTAAGTAACTCGTATTCACATTCCATCCCTTAAGACGACAATGAAAGTCGACGCCAAACTAGGTATCAGTTGATTAACCTTGGGGTAGAGGCCCGGCCCATAGAATGAAGGCAAATGCGGCGAATGCCTCACTACGGAAACGACGACAAAACTTTGTAAATGACTATTAAGAAGGCAAGCAGCAAGCTATATAATATACATACCGTTTTATAGAAAAGGCGATAGCTGTAGGCCAATGATCCAAAGACAATACAACCGACAATTACCAAGGACACCAAAATGGCCCCTGCAATAATTTTGGTCTTTTTGGTACTTTTCTCTGAAGCCATTCTGGATTCTGAAACCTAAAGTTACACAAAAGGTGTAAGTGTATATTAACGGAATACTCCTGTAATCCAACTTGAATGTGAATAGGTTTAAAACCCAAGTATAAACCCTCAAACCATCTGTTAGTACTATCAAAATACACATCTTGTCATGTAGGAGACATGATGGATTTAACTTAAAAATAAGTTTAATTGAAATAATCAATTCGTTTCATTGGAATAATCAATTCGTTTCATTGAAATAATCAATTCGTTTCATTGAAATAATCAATTCGTTTCATTGAAATAATCGATTCGTTTCATTCATTCAAAAAATCACATTTTTAAAACTTGTTTTATTCAATTAATAAGATATTTTTTATCAAATAAATAACCCACGTTTGTTTAATGAAATAATCAAAGTTTGTTTAATGAAATAATCAAAGTTTGTTTAATGAAATAATCACAGTTTGTTTAATGAAATAATCAAAGTTTGTTTAATAAAATAATCAAAGTTTGTTTTAATTAAATAATAAAAGTTTGTTTAATAAAATAATCAAAGTTTGTTTAATAAAATAATCAACGTTTGTTTAATGAAATAATCAAAGTTTTTTTAATGAAATAATCAACGTTTGTTTAATGAAATAATCAAAGTTTGTTTAATGAAATAATCACAATTTGTTTAATGAAATAATCAAAGTTTGTTTAATGAAATAATCACAGTTTGTTTAATGAAATAATCAAAGTTTTTTTAATGAAATAATCAACGTTTGTTTAATGAAATAATCAAAGTTTGTTTAGTGAAATAATCAAAGTTTGTTTAATGAAATAATCAAAGTTGTTTAATGAAAAAATAGACATTCCTTTAATTGAAATTGAAATCAATTCCTTACACTTCACTGGAATAATAAGAATTAGTTTCATTGAAACAATCAAAATATTTTTTAATCAAAATCTTTTTTATTTGATATAACAATGTAAATCTAAAAAAAAAATGATCGCATGGTTATCACAAAATCTCAACGTATCTATCCACTGTCAAATAAAATAAGTTTCCTATAGAATCCTAAAATATCCATTAAAAATCCTGCTGAACCTAGGTGTTATAATTAAGAAAATATTATAGTACCTGATCTATGAGGTATGGGTCTGGTTTCGTCTGTAAATCAGCTTGGGGTGGTGACATAGCAATGAGAAGAGAAGTTCTTCGATATCGACAACTTCGATCTCAACCTCGGAATGAAGAAAAAGCCCAACCTCTGCTATTTATACTTTAGAAGAAGATGCCACTTGACCCCATCGTTATGCTCAAAGGGTATCAAATTTGGGGGTTCTAAGAAATTACCACTTGAATAAAAACGATTACTTTTCTCGGAAAGATTTTAACATAGATTAAATTTTTTTCCTTTCAGATTATTATAGGCTTAGTAAACTGATCATGATTTGCACACATTCAAAACAGGAAGAATACTTCGACACGACTTATGTAGTGGCGGCGCTAACCTCCCGCTACTGGGTGTACAAAAAGGGGGAAGACTGACTGAAGCATCAAGACTTATTTATAATTGCGACAAGTCTGTGGAGGCTGCCATAAAGAGTCTGAGAGGGATATCCGAAGAAATTTTCGAAATATTGAAATGATTTTGATGCATTCTGACATGTATTTGTGGTAAAAACGTAAAAAAGTTATATTTTTTAGTTTATTTTAAAAAGGTTGGGGTACAACCATTTTTCTAGCACCTCGTAACACACCAAATTACTTTGGTGGATCCTGCTATAGTATTGTTCACCCTTTCCAAAAAGTCCATGTTGGTGACTTAGTTTGTAAATAACCATTACTGTAGTATGTTACTACATCACAGTTGGTACGTTAGGCTTTATCTAGGGTGCATATGAAACTACGTTTGGTTCCTAAATGGAAATAACAGGCACTAACGTAGTTCACCACCATTTTGAATCCCTATTCGACTTAATATGTCGAATATTGCAAATGGCTTTAATATTTCAACAATGCCTTCAAATCACATTTAAAGCCATTTCTAAACCCTGAAATATGCTTTGAAGGCTTAGTTGCAATATTAAAGCCTTTTTTCAAAATTCGACTTATTAAGTCGAGGAAGTGATTCAAAATGGCTGTGAACTACGTTCGTGTGTGTTATTTCCATGTAAGAACCATTCGTGGTTTCTTATAGGTTGTACAGATAATAGATTGACACCATTTTGCATTTAAATAGTATGCAGTTTAAGATAAGGCAATGTTGTCCTTGTAATAAGATATGCTGTTTGGAGTTAAGCCTTCTTTTTTTGTGTTTGTTAGGTTTTTTTCTGGTTTTTTTTGTTGTAATATGTGAACTTCAACCCACTTCATTATGAGCCCTTTTTAGCATATCAGTAACTTAACCTGTTTTGTTGTGTATAACAATATTGGCAAATGGTATTTGCGAGAGTAACGTCATTCTAAACGTAACATATTAGTATCTTACAAAACTCATTTTTCAGTTGTGTAGTTATAGTGGTTAACTGTATTGTCTCTGGAATTACATGATCTTCGCATCATAATAAGCCTCTCTTTGCAAATCAAAACCTGACTAAACTTGTTTTGTTTTTTGTATAATTATATTGGCAAATTATATTTGCGAGCGTAATATCATTATAAGCTGTAATTTCAGTATAAAGCAAGTACTAATAATCCGAACCGCAAAACGCAACCCGATGGGGAGTGCTATAAGGGAAATTTTGGTAGGACAGCGGCATTATCCTACTCTTATTGTCGAGGGATCTTTAACGTGGACCTCGGTTTAATGTCCTATCCGAACGACTAGACGCTTTTTTCTATAGCAGCCCTTTTACCTGCATCACTGTAATCTGCATCACTGACTAGGGGAAACCTGGTTGTCAAATCAGAAGGTATTATCTCGACCCATAACGGAATTGAACCCTGGACCTTTAGGTTAGCGAGCAAGCCACCGTGGCTCCCGTTGCCTTCTGATCCTTCTTTTTTAATATATCTTATTCTATTGCGTTTTTAATTAAAATTGTAGACATGGGACACAAAGATCAAATGACTTTTATCAAAAATTTAATGTGTAAAAGGGGAAAGCAAATTACAAGAAAATTGTGTATCAAGTGTCCTTTAAACATTAATTTGGTTAACATTTCAACGGCGCTGCATAGATATGCAATAAAAGAGGTCCTGGCATAGTCGTACGGACCGCAGGCCTGCTTGGGTGTTGGGCAGGCTTGTTTACCCAAAAATTTGCGGTGTGTTCGGCGGATTTTCATTTCATTGATTTCATTTGAGCATCTGCCAGAGGTGTTTCGGTTACTGCCCGAAAAAATTATATGAGTCTGAACCCCCTCCCCCCCCCCCCCGGTCTCCTACGCCTATGAATCCTGATTGATAGGTTTGCCTTGATTACATCCATAAGGTACATGTACAACTGTAGAATAAATAATAATAAACAGTTTACAGTCATTATGAAGAAATACCAGGAATTTCACTAGTATTATGAAACAAATATAATCGAATACATTTTAAAACATTATTGTTAACACAGTCAGTAAACTTTCACGATTAAAAACACCCCCCCCCCCCCTCCTCTCTGTCTCTCTTTCTCTGCTCTATCTCATCTACTTTAAATTTTTATAATTCAAGTTGTATTATATTGTATTTATATCAAATCTACCAAAAATCATGAATCATTCTGACAAACTGTAATAATTCGATGAATGCAATATCATTAAGGGATCTGAAATTTGGTTACGTATTCTTGCATTTCTTATACCGTTCATAGCAACCGCTCAAACAAATAGTAAGGTAAGAAAGGCACTATTTGAAAGCATTTTAGTTTTTGACATTAAAAAAAAAAAAATTTTGACAGCGCTACTACTAAATTTGCAAAATCCTCTAAAAATTAAAAAAAAAAACATGCTACACAAAACATTCTATCATCATACGTTTAGAGACATATTCGGTACCAATACAATCTACCATAGTATATAAAGTAGTAATAATAGCATCGCCAAACTGAAAATAAAAACAAATTAATATTATGTTGTCATTTTTTATTTAAAGGGAGACTATGTTTCATGAGTTATAACTAAATCATTTCTCCCATTGCTCAACTATTTGTGGGTTTTATGTCAATTATGTTAATACAGTGAGTCCAATGAGCTTCATTTCCTACTGCATAATACGACTATGATATAAATGTTTCAAAATATATCCCATGACAGAGGAAGACACAGTGCCAATAATTGAATACACTATTACAATCAATCCTTTTTGTCATATTTAATATTGATATAATTCCCATTTCACTCTGATAATGCTATTTAAAGTATTTTCGTATACAGACATGTACAGCGGAACATGGTGAATCCCTATCCCTAGTTGATAATTATTTTTTTTTCTTAATGAAAACTACTTACGTGCTCTCTTTTCAATATCATGGCTTTCGGTCTCTTTTGTATCCAAAGTTCCATCGTATGGTTTAGAAGCATACATCCAGTGAGCAGTGGCGTTGTTATGAGCACAATGAAGTGCGACCTCTTCCCCAGCGAACCTCTTCAGGACCTTTGGTTCGATTGGGTCTTTGGAGTATTCAAAAGTCATCTTCTGCTGATTCGAATCACTTCCCTACAGAATACAATGTAAAGATTGGTCAAAGAAATGTTATAGCTTTACATTGATTTTGATCTCGCATTGGGGATGCATCTAACATTAATTCAATAAAATATATTCCCTTTTCACTTACGACTCAACCTTCAATTTTCACAGTAATGCATTCATCAAGGTGATCGGATGATCTCATTTCTAACTTAAAGGGCTCGGTGATAGAAAATCCTATTCCTGCCGGTGACTTTAAAGTGAGGTAGTTGTCCACCGATTCTGAAGTGAATAGATTCTGAGTGCCAAAACGAGTTAAATCCCTTTAACCATAATAATTCTCTTAGAAACATACTTACGCCATATTTAGACCAATATTTCAGTCCGCCATCGAAATCTTCATCCAAACGGTCTATCAAACAAATGTTCTGAGTTTCGTCATAGAGGGCCACCAATTTCTACCAGAAACAAAAAAAAAGATAATCATTAATCAAATAGAAATAAATGAACGAAGTAATGCCAGTTTTATCCTCTATTCGGGACCACTGAAGACTTGTAACATCACGCGGTGTGCAATTGGTGACATTAAGTCAGTACAGCAGCATCGGCCTACCCTGTTAAAGCTATGCAATGCCCTCGTTACATACACCTCACAAGTACGGAATGTTGTTATCACATACCCTGTTGTAATTATGTAATGCTCTCATGCCATCGACTCGTCCCGCTTTCTTGTTGTTAACGTAGATCAGTTCTTTCTTATAATCAACATAGATATGTTCTGGTATCTTCTCTCCGTCAATTCTAGATTCAGCTTTATATTCCTGTCAATACAATAGAAAGTAACTCGTACACACCTTCCATCCCTTTAGACGACAATGAAAGTCGACGCCAAACTAGGTATCAGTTGATTAAGCTTGGGGTAGAGGCCCGGCCCATAGAATGAAGGCAAATGCGGCGATGGCTCATTACTTCTAACTATCAAATTATGTCCTTTAAATCCAAGCAGACCCTTGCCTCATAGTAACTTGGATTGTGCAACGGGTTTGCTCTACGTTTCAATGTTACCATAGTGCAAATAGATTAAATAATTTCATTCAAATCTAACTAGAACTCAAAGACTATTAAGAAGGCAAGCAGCAAGCTATATAATATTGATTGTACATACCGTTTTATAGAAAAGGCGATAGCTGTAGGCCAATGATCCAAAGACAATACAACCGACAATTACCAAGGACACCAAAATGGCCCCTGCAATAATTTTGGTCTTTTTGGTACTTTTCTCTGAAGCCATTCTGGATTCTGAAACCTGAAGTTACGAAAAAGGTGTAAGTGTATATTAATGAAATAATCACAGTTTGTTTAATGAAATAATCAAAGTTTGTTTAATAAAATAATCAAAGTTTGTTTAATGAAATAATCAAAGTTTGTTCATAAAATAATCAAAGTTTGTTTAATGAAATAATCAAAGTTTGTTCATAAAATAATCAAAGTTTGTTTAATAAAATAATCAAAGTTTGTTTAATGAAATAATCAAAGTTTGTTTAATAAAATAATCAAAGTTTGTTTAATGAAATAATCACAGTTTGTTTAATGAAATAATCAAAGTTTGTTTATTAAAATAATCACAGTTTGTTTAATAAAATAATCAAAGTTTGTTTAATAAAATAATCAAAGTTTGTTTAATAAAATAATCACAGTTTGTTTAATGAAATAATCACAGTTTGTTTAATGAAATAATCAAAGTTTGTTTAATGAAATAATCAAAGTTTGTTTAATAAAATAATCAAAGTTTGTTTGATAAAATAATCAAAGTTTGTTTAATAAATAATCAAAGTTTGTTTAATAAAATAATCAAAGTTTGTTTAATAAAATAATCAAAGTTTGTTTGATAAAATAATCAAAGTTTGTTTAATGAAATAATCAAAGTTTGTTTAATGAAATAATCAACGTTTGTTTATTGAAATAATCAACGTTTGTTTAATAAAATAATCAAAGTTTGTTTAATGAAATAATCAAAGTTTGTTTAATAAAATAATCAAAGTTTGTTTTAATGAAATAATCAAAGTTTGTTTAATAAAATAATCAAAGTTTTTTATTGAATAATCAAAGTTTGTTTAATAAAATAATCAAAGTTTGTTTATTGAAATAATCAAAGTTTGTTTAATGAAATAATCAAAGTTTGTTTAATGAAATAATCAAAGTTTGTTTAATGAAATAATCAAAGTTTGTAATGAAATAATAGACATTCCTTTAATTGAAATTATTTCCCTAGATTTCTCTGAAATAATCAGAATTAGTTTCATTAAAACAATCAAAATCTTTTTTATTTTATATAACAAAGTTAATTTATTCAAATAATCACATGGTTATCAAAAAATCTCCTATGGAATCCTAAAATATCCATTAAAAATCCTGCTGAACCTAGGTGTAATAATTAAGAAAATATTATAGTACCTGATCTATGAGGTATGGGTCTGGTTTCGTCTGTAAATCAGCTTGGGGTGGTGACATAGCAATGAGAAGAGAAGTTCTTCGATATCGACAACTTCGATCTCAACCTTGGAATGAAGAAAAAGCCCAACCTCTGCTATTTATACTTTAGAAGAAAATGACACTTGACCCCATCGTTATGCTCAAAGGGGTCAGTGGAAAATTTGGGGGTTCTTAGAAATCACCATTTGAATAAAAACGATTACTTTTAAAAATAGATTATTTTTTTTTCCTTTCAGATTAGGCTTAGTAAACTGATCATGATTTGGACACATTCAAAACAGGAAATTTTCTCAAAAATGTGCTTTTGTTGATCGCTTTCTATAGGTTATTAAGCAATCTTTCGGTATACCCGGGCCCTTGCATTTTTGGGAGCTAACATTATGTTATTATTTTTCTTTCTTTTGTTATACAATAGGCTGAGCTGCAAAAGACTCCCTACCGAGCTTGTAATATCGGTCTACAATTTGTTAGCTTTAGTCCAAAACATAACGAGGACTGCTATTAAAAATAACGGCCTTGGTTGGTGATTCATGTCGCCAACAAGAGTCTTGTCATGAGCTTCGCCGACCGGCTAAGGGCACACGGGGAGATATAAAATCTCTATTCGGTCATTTTCAAGCAATTGACAGGAAAATGAATCTGATTAGATGATGACGCTCTGTCTTGCAGGCGATAAACGATCGGCGACAGATATCAAACTGTTTTGATATTATAAATCCTGTATATAAGTATATAACCTCCCGAGAATGAACGTACAAATAGTGGAAAAAACTGACTGAAGCATCAAAACCATTTTTCTAGCAGCCCCGCAACCCCCCAGACCCTCTTACCTACATCACTCACAAAGAGAAACCTGGTTGAAAAAACAGGACATATTTTCTAGACCCATGACGGAATTGAACCCTGGTCCTTTAGGTTAGCGAGCAAGCCACCGTGGCTCCCTTTGAAAATTCGGAGGTCTGTGAAAAATATCTTTCATTCTTATCTCGTTGCCTTCTGATCCTTCCTTTTTAATATATCTTACGAAATTCTATCGCGTTTTTAATTAAAATTGTAGACATGGGACACAAAGATCAAATAACTTTTATCAAAAATTTAATGTGTAAAAGGGGAAAGTAAATTACAAGAAAATTGTATATTAGGTGTCCTTGAAACATTAATTTGATTGTTATTGAAATCTATGTAAACTTTTCAAGGGCGTAACCTAGTTGTGAAGTAGGGTGTTTAGTTGCTTGGATGATACAAGAAATAAGTACACATTTCATATACATGTATTATGTATTGCACTACATAGGGAAGATCCGTATAAATATATGTGCCATTTTAGTGCGTTAAAGATGCCAAGTTAAAGATGCCAGTGTTGACTTATTTAAAGGGACATATTCATTATTTTGAAATGTATGAAAATCAAATTATGACCCTAACGTACGATTGTTCGAACGGATGGAGAGCCTATCACTTTTAGTCGAGTCAGAGGGTGGGGTGTATAACTTGAATTCACTGATAGCAAGACTGAATCATTTCAGACAAGTGCAAATTTTCATTACAAGCAAATACAAAAAATGCTTAATATTTCTTTATTACTTTATGCATGTAGTCTTAATGTATCCAGTCAACGATTTCGGTTAGTTTTGGTAATATAACTTTAATTATGGTAATAAAATGGGAATTTTTTATAATTTTCCTCTGTTTTGGGTTAATGGGGACGGGCAATACCAGTTTGCAATGAGAAAAAATTTCGACAGGACAACTACATTAGCCTACATTTCAATTTCAATTTCGAACATATGGTGTCTCGGTGTATTGCTCCATCCGTCCGACTAAGTTTATTAACGCATTGTTTATAAACACATTCTTATTAACACATTGTTTATTAACACATTGTTTATCAACATACATTTATTTT